GTGAGGCGTCGAGGCAGCCCACGGCCAGCAACTCATCGTCGTACACCTCCACTAGTGTGGTGTCCAGCACGTAGCTGAACTCAACATTCAACGTGCTCACGTAGAACGAGTGCACCAGCCTGTACTGCATCGTCGACCATGCCGGTACTGTACCTGCAGGACATCAACATTGCTCATCAAGATAGCACTTGATTACATCAATTACGTGAGCATTATGCTGAATGATTGATGGTGGTTATAATTAGGAGCTGCCTCGTATGGGCCAATAGGCCTGCTTCAGTTACATTTATTCTTATGTTTAATGATAGTTGTATATGCCTAAATGACGAGCAAAGATTGTGGCAGCTTACCCTCAGTACATGCAGGTCCGCTGCACTTGCCCTGCATGGCACACAGGTGGGATGAACAGGTTTGGTTGAAGTACTCGGGACTACAGTCAGCATTACAGAGTTGTGTCTCCGAGCAGTAGTATGTGCCGGTGTCACACGTCGGGCTTAGTGCCTGCCACAACAATAACAGTTACCTAAAACAGCATTATCAACCAACTATGGTAACACCAACTGGTGTTCAAATATTCATAAATTATTTTTGAATTATTATCAATTAAATTTTTCAAGATCAGCATTAAGAATGGTTAACTCCTCTTGTCTATTCTTCAATAGACAAGAATAGATCGCTCTACCGTTAGGCCAAATGGTTGGGAAGAAGTTAAAAATATAAATAATGAAATATCACGAAGACAACATCAGTCCAAGATGTTGCCAGCAACACCATAATGACTAATCACAGGTAACATAAGACAATTGACTTACATAGAGAACAACCCAGCCAGCGGAAGCAGCCCAGATTCGAATCTTGGTCAGGTAGCCGGCGCGGACAGGATCAGTATGTATCATAATGGCTGTCGGTGTGTTCACATACTCAGAATTGTAATATGTGAGGTTATTAAGTATCGCTCCATACGACAGCGTTCGTCCAGCTGTCATGAGAATGACCACAATACAGTCACCATGATAAACATGTTAAATTTACAAGTGCATTACATATTTTCCTGTAACTCCTTATACTATCATGTAATCTCACATAAAACAGCCTTTAGATTGAGACTCTGTATTCTTATCAGAGAGGAATATTTACCCGGAATGCGGTAGGACGTCTGAGGTACGCCTGGTTCATTGAAGGTAGCGGTGAGAACACTGTCCACGCCCTGGCTTGATGTGACCAGTGGACACACTGACGGCTCCCCAACAGTCATGTACGGCGGACACATCAGGGTGGCATTAGGCTTGGAAATTACAGTCACTATAACGCCATCCCACACATTGGGAACTTTTTCCAGGAAAGCTGCAAGAAATACCAAACGTAAGTACTTAATTAAAGTTACAAAACGGGTAAGAATACATGTTTATATTCGCCCCACTAGTTACAGCCCCGTTCCTGTGCCAGATAAGTCCACAACGGGCTCACCATAGTCCGTGCTACTTTGATTTTTTGTTCAGAGTAGCTCAAACTAAAAGCAAGAACAATATTTACATCCCTTTACCCTGAGGACGGTCAGATATATAATCACATGGTATAATCCGCTATATTTTTCATATATTTTCGTAGATGTTAATAATCTCCTAGCTGTTATTCAACTGTACAAGTCTCTGTACGAACACATTTGAACTACTGTACCCAAGCATGGAGACCAACTTCAGGAGGACATATGTATACTTTGGAGAAAGTTCAACACCCGAAGACAAAAATCATCCCAGAACTAAGTCTACTTTTATACCAGGAACGGTTGAGGGCCTCAAGACTTAACAACCACTGCAAACCTGACATGACAGAGTTGATCTCCTTACTCAAAAATTTGGAGAATATTGATGCAGACAATGTCATTAAAAGATCGCATTTAACACGTACAAGGCTTTAAGCTCAACAAGACAACGTAGAACAGAAAACAAGAGACTTTATTCCCCCATTGGGTTATAAACCCATGGCCTTTACCGCCGTTCAAAATCCAGCTGGATATAATCATGAAAAATGGGACGGGGGGAGGTTATCTTGAGGTTATCTTGAGATGATTTCGGGGCTTTAGTGTCTCCGCGGCCCGGTCTTCGACCAGGCCTCCACCCCCAGGAAGCAGCCCGTGACAGCTGACTAACACCCAGGTACCTATTTTACTGCTAGGTAACAGGGGCATAGGGTGAAAGAAACTCTGCCCATTGTTTCTCGCCGGCGCCTGGAATCGAACCCAGGACCACAGGATCACAAGTCCAGTGTGCTGTCCGCTCGGCCGACCGGCTTCCTTTAACAAGGGGACGTTTAACAACCCGCCGAGTTCCTGTTCTCGTCGAAGCCAGTAGAGAAAATGGCTCGCGGGTAAATTCAGGTATTACTGTCAAGTGGTACAGCTACATTCTTGACATTAATACCAGATGTAGGACATACATTTATCCAGAATGTCACAGCACAAATACTGTGAACTCTGACTCTTAGGATGAAAAAAACATAAAACAGAAGGAAATTTTACAATGAATATAAACTTAACCAATTATTGGGAGGATTTATGAATTTTCCTTAAAACATATTGCGTCTTAAAAATGGACCCAGATTAAAAAAATAAAAACTTTGCTTACCAACAATTGTAAACTCTCCAGGAGTGCCGTAAGTATGCGTCGTGCCATTCGTGACAAAGATGGCTCCGTCACCCCAGTTCGTGACCCAGGCCCCGGTGGCGTAGACTGACAGCACCACGTTCTGTCGTGTAATACGGGTCATGTAAACGACTTTACTCTCATGAAAAATTTTTGTAGTGAACACGAGTGGCACAATATGAGGGTACAATATGAGACCACAATACGTACACACCACAAGACCTACACCACATACACATACCACAAGACCTACACCACATACACACACCACAAGACCTACACCACATACACACCGTTCCTACTGCGATGACAGTGGTGTTAAGGTTGAGTGTAAAGTTGAGGTGGCCACTGAGAACTGACGTTTGCCAAACAGTCAGCACACCGGCTGTCAGCCCTCCACACTCTGAGCCGTCAGCGCACACTGCTGTACACTCACCAGTGGCAGACACCAGCGCTGTACAGAATTGCAAATAAATATTAGGCTTCAGTAGCATGTGATGTCTATGTTCAATATAATATTTCACAATATCCAAAGATCTTAAGAACATAAGAATAAAGGTAACTGCAGAAGGCCTATTGGCCCATACGAGGCAGCTCCTAATATCTTGCAAATAATGTTTATACTGTATCAAAGCTTGCAACGGTAAAAATAATTAGTGCACGACAAAGCAAGGAATATCTGAACAATGTTTGTGTATATTAATGTTATGATAAAACCTACTTCCCAAGGTCTGAAGGCAGTAGCAATATTGGCCTTCGTCAACAGCACAGTAACAAAAGTGAAGACGGCCGCAGAAGTCCTTACAAGTCTCTGGGGAGAGATCTTCGGGGCTGTAGCCTCCTCCCGACAAAGTCACCCATGGCTGCACTATGTTATCCTTGTAGCAACCTCCTTCTGCGATACGACATATCAATGTGCATGTTATCTTTAACTTTAGACATTACATGTAAGAAAATAAATATATAAAAATCATAAATAATGCTATCTCGTAGGGTAATTGGGCATTATGTATTGCATTTCTTCGCTCGTATCAATACATATTAATATGGTAAGTATATAAGCCACTCCTCTTACAAATTACGTCGCTTTTCACTCGTATGCGCTGCGGCCAAAAATGGTCGTAATTTGAAAATTAAAAATATTTCAAAATAAATTTTGGAATTTTTGTTTCCAAAACAGCAAGTTAAGGGTCCTTGGGTAAGGTTAGGAGGGCAGGAAGTTCTCCTAAGGTTATCTTCAGCACACATATTTGTGGCTACCAAGATGATCCTCATTCTAATCTACGTTCTTCACTCCCGGGGCATGCAAGTGGTGCTCGCCAAGATTATATGATGGCCAAACATGCTTCTTGAACTCTTCGACTGGAGATTCTGGTATTAATTCGTCAACATCCCAAAGGTATGTGAAATGGAATATGCATTCAAGACGAGAAATGGAATATGCATTCGCATCACCCAGCGTGTTCAATGCCCCGAGAGAAGATATCAACAGCGTTTGAAGAAGTCAGGAACTTTTAAACTAATGATGGATCACACTGACCAGAAATCAAAATATCAGAGGTATATATTCAGGCTGTGAGATCCCCTCTTTATCTCCATAGCATGTGAGATCTACACGTACAGAGAACACATTTTTAACACCAGCAAAATGTAATTCAATCTCATACAAACGAATAGCAAGATAATATTCTAGAATGTAACAAACTGCAATTCAGTACTGGAGAAACACAAACATTTAAGTTATCACTACTTGGATTGTTCCTAGATTCTGGGAGTTCTACTCCTTAAGCCCGGCCCGGGGACAGGTTTGACTTTTGAGAGTTTGGTCCAAAGCGTGGTTGTTTTAGATCCAGTACTCGGAACAAAAAGTTGCAAGTAGTACGGGCTATGGTGAGCTCGTAGTGGATCTTACCTGGCAAAGGAACGGGGGTAGTAATTTGGGTGTGGGTTCTTGTGCTTGGAGCGGCCTACAGGCCCACATATCCACTACAGCCCGGTTGGTCCGACACTTCTTGAAATAAGATGTCCACTTCCACTCCCTGTTTTCACTTGAACACGTCCACTTTTTCCGGCAATATTTCTTATACTCGCTGGGAGGATGTTGAACAACCGTGGACCTCTCATGTTCGTACAGCGTTCTCTGTGTCTATGGCACTATTATACACTAATGTATAATTCTTGGCTAGATAAGTAGTAAATAGTGCGAAATCCATTAATATTAAAATCTGAACTAGAGACTTAAGAGACACTATCTCACCAATGAACCTTACCTATAAAAGCGACCCCAGCACTGGCAGAGGCTACGGCCACCAGCAGCTGCAGAAGCAACGTGGGCAGTCTGTATGCCATCTGCCTCATCCTCTTCCTGTTGTCTGTCCTCAATGCTCCTCACTCTCACTTCCTACCATTCCAAGGCGTCTGTTAAGAGAAAAATGTAATGCTGTATAAACAAACAGATGACTCTTGGAAATTAGTGAAACGACGAGCTTCGTATTTCAACGATTAATCAGGACAGATCTAGGTGGTGACTAGGCTAGATTAATCTAGGTGGTGACGAGGCTATATTAATCTAGGTGGTTGCTTACGACGTGTTGACGTAGATCGACACGTAAAACCACCACACAGACTACGACGGTCGACGTCTGTCTTTGGTTTCATGTGATGCCGTCCTGTATGGTACGGTAATTATGTAGAGAAAGCCCCTACTCAAGTATGGCTATAGTAGCACTTGACAGGGATACGAAGACAATTAAGGAACGCTACCCAACCAATCGGACCATCAGGGATCGAACGCAGACCCTGCAAGATACAGTTCTGAATGTGCTACAGTAAGGTACAATTCTATAACTTATCACTTGCTAACTTACCAGGGTAATTTTAAGTTGAAAGCAAAGAATAAGCAAAGAGGCGCAAGACAACTTATTTTGATGTGATGTGATCTTGATGTATTTGATCTTATTTTGATTTCTTGTGATGGCAAGAGCACCCTTGGCCTTCTTGTCATGTAATTACCCCGTAATTACGGGGTACTTTCTCAAGTTCAGCTATTCACAACCATTCCGTGTCGAAACCTCGTTTGTTAGCTTCGCGAATCACCAGATTCTTTTATTTGTAGTAGCAACCGCTCCTTGTTTTAGCTCCAGGTGCCAATGATCGATTTTCTATTTGAAGAGTTTATTAATCTCTCAGTGGTGCCATCCAATGAGAACAGTCATCGCCCTCCACGACTTGACAAGAGTTCATCCACGGCCACAACCCACGTCACCTTTTAGGTCGAGATCGAAGCTTCACAGTAGATCACCAAGGCTACCAGCCGAGTACGAAATGATTGTGTCGTCCACTTGATTAAAAATATCATCACACGTCTTCAGAGCACTCTGTGGCGCAGCGGGAGAACGCTTGCCTGAAGACACCCTAGCGATTTCGGCTGGGTTAACCTGGGCACCATTCTTCAGTTATGTATACCTATTCACTCAGCAGTAATTGGGGTACCTGAGTTGTAAACCCATTAGCGGGTCATGTTACTCGGAAAAATAGTACTGTAAGTCTTAATATGAGCTATGATAAGTGAAAGCTCTAAGCCTGCTGACAAGTCAGAAGTATTATTATATTAAGACCTCCTGTACCCACCTGTGTAAAAAAAAAAAAATCCAATGGCCTAATTCATCGACTTGTCTTCGTCTGACGTCACCTCTCGGCAAGAAACCTGTCAACACAATATTCTTGCTGTTTATACCAGACTAATTCTATGTGGTATAGCAACGCCTGTGACGCGCGCTGACTTGATTGAACTCTTGACTGTCCGATCCCAAATGGTGGATTCAAATGACGTGTTCATGACCTGATCACGTGTTTCTCAGAGTGCCAGTTAGTTCTAGCTCCGAGCTCCATAAACACTTGATAGATGCAATAAGCTTAGATTTGTTTTCTTCCAAGCATACAACAAATCGAGCATTACGGGACTTTTGAGGTGATGCAACAGTAGACACTCACAGTGGAGATAGCTACAATGTACTTACATAGCTCTGAATTGTTAACTGATATTGGTTTTAGTATGCCCCACCACAGTGGCTGTGGTTGAAGGCTCTGATGTAGTATATTTTGTTTCTCTGAGTGGCGAGATATGATAACAATTAAATTCCAGTTGGACTCTGAAAAAAATATTTATTATATATTTATTTGTATAGGTATAATTCTCAATACCTACAGTAGTGATTGTTCGCAATAGTATGGCTGTTGCGGTTACTGTTGCAAAAGGCTGTATAGCGATTTGTAATTGCCAACGGAGTATAATGATCTAGACCGGAGAAAAAGTATTTTGTTGAACTTAGTTTTGTTCGTGCACGTGATTTTGTTCTTCTATTAATTAAAATATATATTCTATGGATTAAAGTTTAGTGTCTAATTCTCAAAAATTGTATTAGTGTTGGGACCTAACAGGAGTATACTGGGTTATTTTCTCCACAAGTAAGGCAACGGGCAGGATGGGCCCTTACAGTTAATTTTAATATCAAAACACTTCTGAATTCTGATATTCTGAGGTGACGTATGTATGTGTGTGTCAGTATTATGGAATAGCCTTGGCATTTCAAGATTGTAATGACATCATTATAACATAATTTATTACCGTTTGATAGAGCTTGGTCTGTTTTTCACTGCGGCATCATTTACTTTCGAGAAACTGCAAATGTAGTGTGTTTCATTATAAGACTGCATTCAATAACTCAAAATCCAGTGCGTTGCTGATGAAAATTAACATTGGTGCCTTCACGTCTCAATAACCTAAATTCAAATATTTTGTTCAAGCGTGTGATAAATACTGACTAAAAAAAATGAACGAGTCTGATTTCATACTTTCAATTTTATTGTGGCTGAGAGTGTAGCCTCTCAAGTTTCGGGAGGCTACTGGAACACTTAAGGGTAACATTTTGAACCATATTTCGCTAAGAGAGAGTTCGAGAAACGAAATCAAATGCAAGGTCACGTTTAATGTGTCGAGCATTAATGAACAGGGAAGGGGGTGCTAGGTAGTTGCTTAATTAATGAGCATACAGCCAATATTTACAAAGGACAGGCTGTATTTACGATAGAGTAAATACTGTATTTACGTCTGTATATAATTTAGGCTGTATTTACGTCTATATATAATTTAGGGCATATCTGGTCAAACTCCTAGGATTCACGCTCCATAAATCATCATTAATACTCCGCCGAGCAGATAGCGCACGCAAAAACTCCCCCCCTATCCTAACCCCCACAACCCCCTCCTTTACAGGGAAGGTTTACACATCAAAGATTCCACCAAGCAATTTCTACATGATTCCTCGCGTCTTCCTTAGATACCGTATTGTTTGCCACCTTCCCACCACACTACAATGTCGCAAGTCTAGCTTAAATTGATATACGGTACATTTCAAAGGTATTTCTATTTATTACTTTTGTTTAGCTATAATAAAATTATACTTATCATTTTATTATTATTATTATTATTGTTGGTATAACTATCATTATAATATTTTTTTCAGTATTGTGACTTTTGATATTATTTATTATGTTTAAATCACTCATCGTCATTAATTTATTGACATCAAGGGAAACATTTGTTGCTGTGATCAATCGTGAAGGAAACGTGATCACATTCTGGAGTCGTCTTAAATGATGTCATTCTTGTTTTTTCTAAGCTTCTAAGAATAGCTCCAAACCCATATAAGTATGTGTATATATATTTATCTTTGGAAAATATAATTAAAATATTTCATCATGCACGTTCGTGATACAACATTTTCAAGGAATACAGTAGAGAAGATTGATGGATTGATTGACTGATGAAGATTAAGCCACCCAAGAGGTGGCACGGGCTTGAATAGCCCTTAAGTAGAGAAGACACGGGTGTAGACTTAGACCTTACACCTGGGTAGATTAAGAAACCAACATAGCATCAAATAATGGAAGCGATATGATGAGGAATAAGCCAACTGCAGCTTCCTATACTAATGGGGAATAGTGGGAATAAGCTATCTGCATCTAGTCTATTCTTTACATACTTTTATAATATGCTTATTCTATATTTTAAAATAAATTTATATTATATATATATATATATATATATATATATATATATATATATATATATATATATATATATATATATATATATATATATATATATATATATATATATATATATATATATATATATATATATATATATATATATATATATATATATATATATATATATATATATATATATATATATATATATATATATATATATATATATATATATATATATATATATATATATATATATATATATATATATATATATATATATATATATATATATATATATATATATATATATATATATATATATATATATATATATATATATATATATATATATATATATATATATATATATATATATATATATATATATATATATATATATATATATATATATATATATATATATAAAGGAGAAGCCAAGAGTCAAATGCATTCTTCGTTCATTTAGGGACTGTAATCATTCAAATGACTGGACTAATTCATGCAAAATTGTAGTGTAAATCTGCAAGTGAAAGATATATTCTTGGATCTCCTTTTTTATAAAAAAGTAGTGAATTATAATATATTAATATTAGGGGACTAGGGATGTATAATTTAGATAAAGTTTTATAATTGGTAAGATTTGTGATAATTATAACATTAGGTAAAGAATAGATATATAGTAGGTATAGATGCTGATTCCCAGAAGTATGGGGATACTGCAATTGACATATCCACCCCCCCCCATCATGTCCCAGGTGATTGGGTGTCGGAGGGACGTACAGATCACCAGCCTCAAGAGCTCCTACATCGAAAGGGGGACACACGTCACCTGGGGACTCTTAACGTTGATGAGGACATGAATCACCTGGGGGCTAGCTGGGCTCCTGTACTAAAGGATGGATACACACATTACTGAGGAGCTAGAAAGGGCTCTTACACTGAAGGGTGACCCCCACACGTCACCATGGAGGGGCTAACAGGCACTCCTACACTGAAGGGGTCACACGTCACCAGGGGCTCCTACACTGAAAGGGGGGCACATTTGATGGCTGGGAGGCCAGCAGGGAGGGGTTCATGTATTGAATGGGAAGGGGGGGGTACATACGACGGTAGGGGACTAGCAAGGGCTCCTACACTCAAAGGAGATACACAGATCACTTGTATATATATTTTTTTATCCCATCCTTCCCCTGACCACTTCGAGGGTGTAGTTTTTTATATATTTTTAGGACTCCTGTCTTCAAACGCACAAGACATGGGAAGAGGCCCCTAAGCACACATTTCCCTAACAACAAATTAAA